TCAAGGCTGCTTCAACAAGTGTGATCCTTTTCCTAAGCATGAATCGACGCATCCGTTCATTTGACAGACGCTAATCTTGCAAGGGCACATTTTTGGCCTATTGCCAGCACCAGCGTTCCTTCTTGTAAAGGACAAGTTAGAACCTGCATATCCTGATCAAAACTTGTTGAACTCATGTTAAACCTGTCTGATACACGTTAGAATCGGAAGACGGCGTTGGCAAAAAAGAGAAAAACTGCTCAGTCTTGCCAATCTCCTTCGCTATGCGGGTGCGTCGTCCCATGTTTTGCGATAAGGACCACTACCGTTAGGACAGCCTTAGATATTGTGGCTTACCGTATCGTACCGTACCCTGTCTGCATGTTTGTCACCAGTTCCAACTGGCTCTCCACTGCTGCTCAACGTGACGGCAACATCATCTTCATCTCTGCATGTGATCTGGTCGCCACCAGAATCTGCACACAAAATCGTACAGTACCGTATTCAATATCGTGTCGTGAACACCGAGAACTTCACTGCGGCTGTTAGTTCGAGCTACGAAGACGATGCTGATGACGATGCCTTTACTACCAAACCACCTGTTGTCTACAATGTGTTGGTGAATGCAAGTGATGTGACGTCGGCAAATGTGACCGCATTGAAGCCGTTCACCGTCTATGAAATTACCGTAGCTGCCGTAACAGCATTCGGTTACGGTCCAGACAGTGGTCCCTTGCGTAGGAGGACTCTTGAAGACGGTGAGATTTTGAAGCATTTGAGTAATTTCTTACATTTTCAGCCGATGATGAGGATGTCCTACCTGGTAAGTGGTTGTCGTGAAGTGAGGCTAGCTTACAAATAAGTTAGGGGTATTCTATGCTGCCGGATCTGTAAAATGCCCTTCTGAAATCTAGAAAAGGTTTAGGAGTTTCTGACTTTGATTTCCTATGCAAACTTTGGCTCGTTTTTAGTTCTGTTGTTGTTGCTAGGTAGACTTGAGACAACCATAAACATATAAGGAAATATTCTCTTTTGGCTAGAAATCAGTACAAGAGTTTTGAAGTTCTTCTCATTTCCTTGAAACGGTGCATAATTGCGTTTTTTGACTTATTTCTAGTTTTTTTTTCACCCTGGAAAAAAGAGCTTTACCTTTTTGTACTAGCAAATGTAAATCTGATTTCCCTGTAGACAATGAAAGATTTATATTTTAAACGTGGCTACAGAGCTCGCCAAGTAACCCTAAAGGAGGCAACCCTGAAGACTACCCCTCTCTGAATACTTTCACGGAAAGCTCCATTTGGACTTGAGTGTGTGTATGGATGTAGTCCTCAAGATGGCCTTTCTCTTCCGAGGTTTTCGGAAGCAACACTACGCTTTGCTTTCAGCGCTTGGTCTTTGGCAGGTCTAGAAGTTTCTTGTAAAGTTTTTGAATCCAGCAGTTTTTCCTCCGTGATAAGTGACCGTAATGCTACATCTACCTGTAACTTATCATCTTGGTATTCATAAGCTATAGTTAAATTTCTATAACAACATTACCCTCAGTTCTGCAGCGCGATGGTGTTATGCATAGTGCACCCCGTTTACCCTACACCGTGTAGGGTGAAAATTCCGAAAAAAAAAGTAGAACTGCTTGTCGGGAATTGAGAGCAGATAACTGCGGCGACCATTTTAAATTCTATCAGAAGGCTTCAGTTCAAAAGCATCTTCAGGCCCGCAGTTGCTCAGGAAAGTTTCTATTTGAAGTAAACTTGCGCTGGGCGATGTGAGTTGCTCTTGTACTTGAAGAACTTAGCAAACAAAGTTTCGTCTCAAAGATCAGTACCAGTACTGTCGATTGGCTATATGCTGCTACATATACTGCTTTATACGTAGTAGAAGATAGGAAATGATTGTGGAAGAAAAAAGATTAGTCGGGAATACCTGCTGTTATACATTTTGATGGGAAAGTGATTACAGGTTACCAAAGTGCCTTTCCTCAGGGAAGGTCGTTCCTAATTTGAGCAAATTTGCGATCCCTGACATTTCCCAACTTCAACCAGCTCCTCTTAACCGTGCGAGAAACTCCTCAAAGTTTAAGATGTGCAATTTCACGAGATTCGAAGACGATCCTTGTGTACAAAACGAACAAAAACGATCCTCTTCTCGACGCGGCGGTCGCAATTTCATTTGAGCTTCCGCGAAATCGACCCGCCTTGTGTTTGTACTTCTTTTGCTGCATTTCCTGGGGCCTGAGTTAATCGAGACAGCGATGGTGGATCGCATTACCATTCGTTTGCGTACTCTTCTCACGTCCTGTATCGGAAAAAGGATAGCTGGAGGTTTTTTAGCGAGGCTGCAATTTTTTGGAATTATGCAAAGAATATGTGGCTTTCAGTAGCCATGCGTAAGAATCGAAACAGCTTTATGGCAATTAAGAACCTGTTGTGCAGCAGAAGTTGCTGGCTTACGTCAATCT